AGCAGAATACATTTTGGCCTAAATTTATAACCAACTTTGAGTTTACTATATATTTTTTATAGCTGAAAGTAAAAAATATTGTTTTTCTTCAAAATTTTGGCCTTTTTTTGTTTATAGCGTGAAAAATAAAAAGCGCACAGGTGATCAAATATCACCGAAAGAAAGCTCTATTTGCGTGAAAAAAAGGACGTAAATTTCGTTTGGGTGCAGCATTGCATGACCGCGCAATTATCAGGTGAATTAGTGCAGCGCCGAGTAGCAAAAAGAGGCGTGGTCGTTACGGGGGTAAATAATGGAGGTCAAGTGGTTAAAGCATGTCATGTTTGATATCTATTTACTCAGCGTAGCATCATCTTTTATATTTTACCAAATAATTGTCCAATATATTTTGTTTTTGTGCATTAAAAATAAAAAAAGTGTATTTTATTCACTAGGATGTCTGCTTTAAAAATACATATAATGTTTGGGGGTTCAAAGTAATTTCCTAGCAAAAAATACTGATTTTTTTTCATATGAACAAAAAGTGTCAGACTGTCCGCTGCAAGATGACAATCCCGCTATAAGTCGCTGGTTGCCACCATTACCAGTAAAAACACAATCCAGTATATATACAATAGTTTGTAGTTACTATACAATTTAGCATGAATTTATGAAAATATTTGATTTTTTTTTTTGATTTTTTTTCATTGAATATGTTTTTTTTAGCAGAAAGCATAAAATATTTATATATTGTTTTCTTTTTCAATATTTTCAGCCTTTTTTTGTTTAGAGCGCAATAAAAATAAAAGACCGAGAGGGGATGAAATACCACCAAAAAAAAAGCTTCCTGTGTGGGAACAAAATGATTTAAATGTCATTTATGTGCAGCGTTGCATGACCGCGTTAAAGTAGCGCAGCGCCATATCACAACAAATGACCTGCTCATGGAGGGGGGAAATCTCCCGGAGCTGAAGTGTGCAGCTTATGGAATATTTGCTGCTCTTCTTTTTCAAAAAAATACTTCAACAAGAAAACAAAGTTCCATTTGAGCCTTTCTTTTAACCACTTTACAACCGCGCTATAGCTGAATGCAGCGACCTCCCTGAACGCGCCCTCCCGCGTGTCTCCAGCAACATGGACCTGGTGCTATCAGTGATCATACGGACACAGCTGATCACAGGTAAAAGGCCAATCACAGCGGCTTTTTACCACATGATCAGCTGCGTCCAATGACACGGCAGAACACAATGTAAATACAGTTGCTGATTATTGGCAGCACTTTCCTCGCACTGTCAATTCATGAGGAAAGTACTGCCGACAGCTGACAAATGTCACAGAGGACATCTGCACCGATCATCAGGGTACTGATGATCAGTGCCCTGAGGATCGGAGCTGCCCATCAGTGCTCAGCAGTGCCACCCATCAGTGCTGCGCTTCAGTTCCCATCAGTGCCCCCCATCAGTGCTTCCCATCAGTGCTGCCCATCAGTGCTGCCCATCAGTGCCACCCATCAGTGCCACCCATCAGTGCCCAGCAGTGCCACCCATCAATGCTGCCCAACAGTGCCACCCAGCAGTGCCGTCCAGGAGTGTGGCCCATCAGTGCTGCCAGTCAGTACAAAAATCCCCCCAAATGTCAGGACAGTACAAATCCCCCCAAATGTTAGGACAGTACAAATCCCCCCAAATGTCAGGACAGTAGAGATATCCCCCAAATGTCAGAACGGTACAAATCCCCCCAAATGTAAGGACAGTACAGATATCCCCCAAATGTCAGAACAGGACAGATATCCCCCAAATGTCAGGACAGTACAGATATCCCCCAAATGTCAGGACGGTACAGATATCCCCCAAATGTCAGAACAGTACAGATATCCCCCAAATGTCAGAACAGTACAGATATCCCCCAAATGTCAGGACAGTACAGATATCCCCCAAATGTCAGAACAGTACAGATATCCCCCAAATGTCAGGACAGTACAGATATCCCCCAAATGTCAGGACAGTACAGATATCCCCCAAATGTCATGACAGTACAGATATCCCCCAAATGTCAGGACGGTACAGATATCCCCCAAATGTTAGAACAGTACAGATATCCCCCAAATGTCAGGACTGTACAGATATCCCCCAAATGTCAGGACAGTACAGATATCCCCCAAATGTCAGGACAGTACAGATATCCCCCAAATGTCAGAACAGTACAGATATCCCCCCAAATGTCAGGACAGTACAGATATCCCCCAAATGTCAGGACAGGACAGATATCCCCCAAATGTCAGGACAAGACAGATATCCCCCAAATGTCAGGACAGGACAGGTATCCCCCAAATGTAAGAACAGTACAGATATCCCCCAAATGTCAGCACAGCACAGATATCCCCCAAATGTCAGGACAGTACAGATATCCCCCAAATGTCAGGACGGTACAGATATCCCCCAAATGTCAGAACAGGACAGATATCCCCCAAATGTCAGGACAGTACAGATATCCCCAAATGTCAGGACAGTACAGATACCCCCCAAATGTCAGAACAGGACAGATATCCCCCAAATGTCAGGACAGTACAGATACCCCCCAAATGTCAGGACAGTACAGATATCCCCCAAATGTCAGAACAGTACAGATATCCCCCAAATGTCAGAACAGGACAGATATCCCCCAAATGTCAGAACAGTACAGATATCCCCCAAATGTCAGAACAGTACAGATATCCCCCAAATGTCAGGACAGGACAGATATCCCCCAAATGTCAGGACAGTACAGATATCCCCCAAATGTCTGGACGATACAGATATCCCCCAAATATCAGAACAGGACAGATATCCCCCAAATGTCAGGACAGTACAGATATCCCCCAAATGTCTGGACGATACAGATATCCCCCAAATATCAGAACAGTACAGATATCCCCCAAATGTCAGGACAGGACAGATATCCCCCAAATGTCAGAACAGTACAGATATCCCCCAAATGTCAGAACAGTACAGATATCCCCCAAATGTCAGGACAGGACAGATATCCCCCAAATGTCAGGACAGTACAGATATCCCCCAAATGTCTGGACGATACAGATATCCCCCAAATATCAGAACAGGACAGATATCCCCCAAATGTCAGGACAGTACAGATATCCCCCAAATGTCAGAAAGGTACAGATATCCCCCAAATGTCAGAACAGTACAGATATCCCCCAAATGTCAGGACGGTACAAATTTCCTCCAAATGTCAGGACAGTACAAATTCCCCCAAATTCTAAGACAGTACAAATCCCCCCCCCAAATGCCAGAACAGTACAAAAACCCCAAAATGTCAGGACAGTACCAATACCCCCAACATGCCAGGACAGCAGAAATTCCCCCCCCCCCCCCAAATGTTCAGTACAAATACTCCCAAATTTCAGGACAGTACAAATACCCCCCAAATGTCAGGACAGTACAAACCCCCCCCTCCCCCCCCAATGAACCATTTTTGAAAGTAGACAGTCTCAGGTACTTAGTAAGAGGCTTTTTTTGAAGTAGCTTTTATGTCACAATTTGTTGGGGGAATTGAAGAAATTAAATACATTTTTTTTTTTTTTTTCACAATTTGTTTTACATCCTGTCACTGCAGCACAGCGTCATTCCTGTGACCAGGAAAACTGACTGGTGAAAGTATGTTAAAACAATAAGAATTTAAAATTATTTTTTATTAAATGTTTTAAACATTTTATCTTCATTTTTTTTTACTTTTTTAATGTTTTTTAACTTAAGTTCAGTGTCACCATAGTAACTACTCTGGGGGTGTGATCAGGGATTTTATTTTTACACTTTGCTATTACAATGAAAATCACAGTAATATCAAAGATTTCAGCTGTCATGAGTAGGTTAACCATTCATGACAGCTGAGATCACTAGTGATCTGTGATTGGTTACTGCTAATCACATAGTATAGGGTGCTGTGATTGGCCCAGTGATAGCTGTGGGCCAATCACATCATAGGCAACACAGCTGTTATGAATTCATTAATTTTTAGTTTTGGTGACACTGTAGACATGTGATCACATAGCCCAAGTACCTGCCCCAAGTGGACACGGCGGTTGTGGGGGGGGGCACAGCAACCCGCTTAGCCCAAGCAGGCAAAATGACATACATATACATAATTTTGCCTGCAGCAGTATAAGTACTTTGGCTGGTCAGCAAGTGGTTAAACACCACAGGGAATAGCACTACACACCCTATGAGTACAATGACATAGTTACAGTAACCCATAAATAAAACATATTATATCCTCAGAACGAATTGAATCCAATTCAGAAATCCAGTTTTATTCCCAGAAGGCATAATATATGGATTAACAGTCTTAGAGCGCCATATGGTGGATAATTAAAAACACTGACTGTGCAAACAATCAGTTAATCAGTAATATTACTTCCCAATCAAATGTAAGTGAATATTCCAAACTGCACCCTCTATGTAGTCCCCAGATAAGAGGATTTTTGGGAATAAAAATGGAAATTCAGAGCAGAAACAGATCTCCGTCCATCAGGTCCATCTTGAGCTTCATATCTATCTTCTTCTCCATCTTGGATCACCATCTTGAATCATCACCTTCACCTTGGGTTATCATGCTCCCTCGTAGGACGATATATCAGCCTTCAACATCAGCCGTTGTCTGAGACATTTGATCGATTTTCCTGGAAGGTGCTAGTGGGGTGCGGCTTTTAATTCAAAATCAATAATGTTCTATGTAAAGTATAATTTGATCATCACTATTAACAGCTTCCATCTTAATCCTTAATGTGTTTTGCCGATATACAGTGTATATATATATATACACACACACACACACATACTATATTGCCAAAAGTATTGGCCCCGCCCTCCCTCATCTGATTCAAGTGTTCCTATCCCTCCATATCATGTGATTCAGGTGTTCCAATCCCCTCCCAATCATGTGATTTCAGGTGTTCCAATCCCTTCCATATCATGTGATTCAGATGTTCCAATCCCCTTCCAATCATGTGATTCAGATGTTCCAATCCCCTCCATATCATGTGATTCAGATGTTCCAATCCCCTCCATATCATGTGATTCAGGTGTTCCAATCCCCCTCCATATCATGTGATTCAGGTGTTCCAATCCCCTCCATATCATGTGATTCAGGTGTTCCAATCCCCTCCCAATCATGTGATTCAGGTGTTCCAATCCCTCCCAATCATGTGATTCAGGTGTTCCAATCCCCTCAAAATCATGTGATTCAGGTGTTCCAATCCCCTCCATATCATGTGTGATTCAGGTGTTCCAATACCCTCCATATCACGTGATTCAGGTGTTCCAATCCCCTCCATATCATGTGATTCAGGTATTCCAATCCCCTCCATATCATGTGATTCACGTGTTCCAATCCCCTCCCAATCATGTGATTCAGGTGTTCCAATAACCTCCAATAAATAAATAATTTGCGCTAGTAAATGTGTATAAAAAGAAATCATCAAATCATAAGTCCAGAAAAAAATATATATATGCCAATACCACAAAAAAAATTAAAAAAACTTTTAAGTGCAAAAAACTTTTGTGCAAAAAAAAGTGTCTAAATATGAAAAATTTTCACCAAAAAACCTTGATAATATAATGGCAGATCATCCATAAAATATATCTTCAGAAACGGAAACTCTGCAACACATCGATCCTCATCGATCGAAATAACAGGATGAAAAACTTTGTAGTTAATCGAAAATCCACTTCTCCAATAGATAAAGGACCACCTTCAAACGTATCCATGGGGGGAAATGCCAAGCACTCGAGAGAAACAGAAAGACTTCATGGTGCAATATTATAAAAACCAATTCCTTTATTAGGTACTCATTGCACTTACTCAAGAGGTGTCCCAGCCGACACCAGCATCAACAGCATAACAGCAATCACATAAACGAGCCTGGCTACTCAGCACATGCGCAGTAGCTGGCAGCCAAAAACGTAATGACGTCACATCAATCAAGCTCCGCCCTACGCGTTTCGTCATCGACGTCCTCACACGGAGCGGATAGATGTGAGACGTCTCAACCTCCTTAAATATTCACTCACAGGAAACGAACAGCTGACATCAATGGGGAATCAAGCAAAGCAAGCCGCCCCACAGATGACAGGAGTCCACAAAGGATATACAATGTATCCAATATATTTGCCATCACAAGCAAAAAAACTTTAAAACAAGAGAACAAAAATAGAATAAAAAGAAATTTGAATAAAACACTAATGATAAATAAATTAAATAAGTAAATACATTAACGGGCCAGCACCCTCTAAGACTGTGTTTCAAAAAGGGAACTTAAAGGGCCAGTAACACTTTCAACACAAATAAAGGGGAACTCTAGTAATAATACAAAAATAATACAAAAATTTACACAAAAACATACAATCTCCCATATATCATCTTTAAACAGTTACCTATATAAAAAATATACTTAAAATAGCATAAAAAATTAAAAATTTTAAAAATTTGTGAGAAAACAATTCAAATCTATATCGACATTTAACCCAAAATGGTTGCAAGGAATTTAGTTCATAAATCCAAAACGTCTCTTTTTTGGAAATCTCATTAACCAAATCCGAGCCCCTCCAATGGGGTTTTACCATCTCGATCCCATAAAAGGTAAGTAAGCTCGGATCACAATTATGTACCAATTTGAAATGTTTGGATACACTATGTTTATCAAATCCTTTTACTATGTTTTCTTATATGTTCACCTATTCTTGTTTTTAAACATCTCCCAGTTCTCCCAATATATCTCAAATGACACGGACATTCTAAAACATAAATCACATGTGTAGAATTGCATGTAATCAGGGATTTAATATCATATTCTTTTTTGGAAAATGAAGAGCAGAATGACTCTTTTTTTATTATTACCAACTTTTACAGTCCTACAAACTTTACACTTCCTACAAGGAAAAAAAACCATTTAAATTTGGAAACAGATCGAACTTTTTTGGGGGTTCGATGACATTGCGAGCCAGTTTCATCCCGTAAGAGACTTATTTTTCTTATAAATGAATTTAGGAGTTTTAGATAAGAATTTATTTAGTATATCATCTTTTAACAAAATGGGCCAATATTTTTTAAAAATTTGTTCAATATTTTTGTATTGCATATTATAGTTAGTAATAAAGGGTACATTATTTTCAAATCCCAAATGAGCCTTTCTATTTCCAAGAAACGTCTCCCTATCTTTAATACCAATCGAATTTCTCTCTTTAATCAAAAGGTCTTATCATACCCTTTCTCTATAAATCTTTCAATTAACACCTCAGATTCATCGAAGAAATCTTTGTTAGCGCTACAATTTCTTTTTAATCTGGTAAACTGACTTTTTGGAGTGCTATATAACCAATTTGGATGATGTCCACTAGAAATAGGTATATAGCTGTTTTTGTCCACTTCCTTGAAGTAAGTTTTGGTACAAAATTTGGCCATTATCTTTATATAGGACCAGATCCAAAAAAATTAATTTGCTCAAAATCACTCATAACTCCAACTATAGAGGTCAAGGTGGATATAGGGGTAATGGATATAGGAGAGGAGGTTATCAAAACCCAAAATTTTTTTTCCATCGAGGGGGGGTTTTTCATACCATCACCGGGGGTGGAATATGGCACCAAGGGGTTACAGACCACAGGAGAAAGATTGGAGAGAACAAGGGAATTATGGCAGAAAGAGGGAATAAGAAATACAGAGGCAAAAGAGGAGGAAGGAGACAAAAAGAGAAAAAGAGAATAATAGGGGCAGGAATCTATAACTTGAGTGATGTTACTTTTTCTGAAAGAGAAATTAAAGTTTTGGACCTTGGTTTGAAATATATACCTAGGACGAATTTAAATAAATTCAATGTTTTTATTGATTTGCAAAAATGTGTGAGAAAACTTAATATTAAAAATTTTTTTGAATTGAATAAATTTTAAGGAAACAATCCTACTTCATCTTCTCATGGTTTTCAAAATAGTGGTTTAAAAAAATGCTTCTACATTTAACCCTAAGATTTCTGGTAATGCTTTTCTGGAGGTATTTAAAATATGGTAGAAAATGAGATTAAGAGTATTAATGTTAAAAATTCGTACTGTATTCCACCAGATATAAAATTGGGTATTGATGATCTTGAAAAGAGAAAGAATATAGTAATTAGAAGTGCTGATAAAGGGGGAAGTATTGTTGTTTTAAATAAGAATGACTATGAAAAAGAAATGAAGAGATTATTACAATCTGAAGATACATATAAAATTTTGCAAAAAAATCCCACTAAGAAACTTAAATTACTACTTAAGTGTATTATTAACAAAGGAAAAAAGTTGGGGGTATTGACTGAAAAAGAAGCAAAATATTTATTGATTAAACATCCGAAAATACCTACTATATACTATTTACCAAAAATACACAAAAATAAGGAGAAACCCACCGGGGAGACCCATTGTGAGTGGGATACATTCTTTATTTGCAAGAGTTGGTGAATATGTTGATACTTTTCTGAAAAACATTGTTATGACAAATAGGGCTTTTCTGAGAGATGGTGGACATCTTATTAACATCCTTAAAGAATTACATAATGTTGATAATTGTATGTTGGTTACTATAGAACGTAGAATCTTTATATACTAACATCGATCAAAATGATGGAATTAATGCAGTAAAATGGGCCCTTAAACATAAATCACTCCTGAAAAGATCGCAGAGGAAATTTGTTGTTGAATTACTTGAATTTGCGATGAATAACAATTTCTTTTGGTACAACAACACTTTTTTTCAGCAATGTAAGGGTGTTGCCATGGGAGCTAAGTATGCTCCCAGTGTGGCAAATCTGGTAATGGATAAATGGGAGGAAGAAAGTATTTTCAATAAATGGCCAGAGATGGCGCTATACAAGAGGTATATTGATGACATTATTATGGTATGGGATGGATCCAGAGAAAAGCTCGATTCCTTTATGGAATATATTAATATGAACCGCTATGGATTGAGATTCACTGTTATGAGTGATTTTGAGCAAATTAATTTTTTGGATCTGGTCCTATACAAAGATAATGGCCAAATTTGTACCAAAACTTATTTCAAGGAAGTGGACAAAAACAGCTATATACCTATTTCTAGTGGACATCATCCAAATTGGTTATATAGCACTCCAAAAAGTCAGTTTACCAGATTAAAAAGAAATTGTAGCGCTAACAAAGATTTTTTCGACCAATCTGAGGTGTTAAAAATCAAATCAATAAAAACATCGAATTTATTTAAATTCGTCCTAGGTATATATTTCAAACAAGGTCCAAAACTTTAATTTCTCTTTCAGAAAAAGTAACATCACTCAAGTTATAGATTCCTGCCCCTATTATTCTCTTTTTCTCTTTTTGTCTCCTTCCTCCTCTTTTGCCTCTGTATTTCTTATTCCCTCTTCTCTGCCATAATTCCCTTGTTCTCTCCAATCTTTCTCCTGTGGTCTGTAACCCCTTGGTGCCATATTCCACCCCCGGTGATGGTATGAAAAACCCCCCCTCGATGGAAAAAAATTTTGGTTTTGATAACCTCCTCTCCTATATCCATTACCCCTATATCCACCTTGACCTCTATAGTTGGAGTTATGAGTGATTTTGAGCAAATTAATTTTTTGGATCTGGTCCTATATAAAGATAATGGCCAAATTTGTACCAAAACTTACTTCAAGGAAGTGGACAAAAACAGCTATATACCTATTTCTAGTGGACATCATCCAAATTGGTTATATAGCACTCCAAAAAGTCAGTTTACCAGATTAAAAAGAAATTGTAGCGCTAACAAAGATTTTTTTCGACCAATCTGAGGTGTTAATTGAAAGATTTATAGAGAAAGGGTATGATAAGACCTTTTTGATTAAAGAGAGAAATTCGATTGGTATTAAAGATAGGGAGACGTTTCTTGGAAATAGAAAGGCTCATTTGGGATTTGAAAATAATGTACCCTTTATTACTAACTATAATATGCAATACAAAAATATTGAACAAATTTTTAAAAAATATTGGCCCATTTTGTTAAAAGATGATATACTAAATAAATTCTTATCTAAAACTCCTAAATTCATTTATAAGAAAAATAAGTCTCTTAGGATTAAACTGGCTCGCAATGTCATCGAACCCCCAAAAAAGTTCGATCTGTTTCCAAATTTAAA